AAACTTTTCTGCACATTAGAATCACCTGGGGAAATTTTAACACGCCTATGGCCAGGTCACACCCTCTACCAATTAAATCAGAACATCTGGGGGGTGGGAGCAGGCAGGAGTATTTTTTTAAAAGATCCCCAGGTGATTCCAATAGGCAGCCAAGTTTGGGAACCACAGCCTAGCGCTGTATTGAAGGGGGTTAGAGCCTGCAGCCAACTGAATAAACGTCATGGAGCCTGGGGCTCAGACCTTCTTGTCTTCAGAGCTCTGAAGGTGAGAGATGGTGGTGCAGGACAGGTCCCATGTCCCCAGCGGGGTGAGGAGCAGTCTCTCTGGGGCATCCCTGCCAAGTGCACTGAGGGCTCTGCTGGCCTCAAGGTGAAGACCTGCTCTGGGGAGAGCTGACTGCAGCCCGGGAGACCTCCCCATTCCTCAGCGAAGAGTGTTGGTTCCAGGCAAGTCCTTTTAGGAGCTCAGTCCCCAGGAGAGTCTCGGATCTGGCGGGGAAGCAAACAGGCAGGTCTGTCTCTCTCTTTTGGACGCAGCCCTGAGCCCTGGGTTTGCTGACTTGGCTGAGGGCACACCTCTGATTAAGGGCAGCTCCCCGTCTGCGGGCAGCCTGGATTTCCAGCTGCTCAGCTGAGAGTGAGGTCACCCAGGGTAGCAGGAGGCCAGGTGATGTGACAAGGGATGGGAGACTGTGGATGCTCAAGATGTAATCCCTGCAGTCTTCAAAAAGAGAGTGAATGAGGAAATTCCCTAGAGCCCCAGTGACAGCAGCCCCAGGAAGTTTCATCTCTGGCGGAAGTCTGCTATCCTCACTCCTCTGGCCTCTCTGACCAGCATCTACATGGGTGGTTCTCAAACTCATATCAGAATCCTCTGGAGGGCTTGTTAAAACACAGATTGCTGGGCCCAGCCTCAGAGTGTGACTCAGTGGGTCTGGGTTGGGGCCAGAGAAGTTGCACTTCTAGCAAGTTCCACAGGGCTGTTGCTGCTGCAGATTGTGGGGAGGGGGGCGGTCACACTTGCAGACCCCCTGGTCTATAGCCTCTCTCAGTCCACCTCCAATTTGCCATAGACTGAAATCAGAGGAAGAAGCAGTGGGAAGAAATAAAAAAGAGAAGGGAAAAGCTGATGTTGCCTCCTTTGTTGAGGGAAGGCGGGGCTCTCATCTTGTGTGTCCCTCCTGCTCGGCACTGGTGTGGTGAGTCCCACATTGCGAGAGCACCATGAGCACCTGCATCTGGTGATGTGGCTGGTACAGCAAACACAGGCAACAAATGCCAGTCTCCTGTACAGTCCCGGGAAGACAGTGTCTGTCTGTGGCTCTCTAAATGCTCAGTCACTCAACAAAGAATACTGAGTTAGCCTAAAATGCTCAAAGTGTCATATCCCAAGCACATGAAGTCGTAACACCACTGGAGACAAAAGAGTGAATTAGGTACTTACAGGCTTCCTGCCCTTCTAGAGTTTTCTGTCCTTCAAGGATGACACTTTTTTTTTCTGCTTTTCATAAACATGCTTCATAGCATGCAGGTGGGTTTTTTTTAAACATTTTTTATTGATTTATAATCATTTTACAATGTTGTGTCAAAAGGGATGCCACATATTAAACAAGAAATTGCAGAGGTGAGAGTTTGGAAAAGAAGCTGACTTTCTAAGAGTAGATCTTCCCCCTCTTGGACCGTTCATGTCCTGCTGACTTGTACCAGATTAAATCTTGGGGAGATGGAATGAGCCCCGGATATGCTGTGAGTTGGTATGTGCATCTAGTTGTGTTCACCTGAGTGCGGACCCATGGAGCCGTTTAAAATAAGAGATTATATGTTTCAGCATCTTTCTGGCTCATTCTGTTTAAATTAAGATGAATTTTCAGTTTCCCCTAGCAGAGGATTTGATGGAAACAGCCAGGCTGATGGTGTGGAGGTAGCTGTAATTCTGTCTTGCTTGAGGCTGCCAGGCTGGAGGGGGCAATGTATTGATCTGATGTGAACAAGATGCTGAGCAGAAAATTCCAGCATGTCCAGGAAACCGGAGACAATGTGGTGAAGCACACCATTGTGTGTCCCAGGACCAGCAGCCAAGCGAGTGGGTGAGCTCTGTGGCCATGACAAAGATGCTGGCCAATGAACCTTCCATCCCAAAGCTCTCCTGAGAGTAGCTTGTGTCTAACTAAACTTATTTTCAGGCTGACCAGAAATCATACAATCTTCTGGAAATTATCTTTACTCTTCTGTGGGAAAAGACGGGTGACCACAAAGACCCATGGAAGAGACACTATTCACATGTCTTGGAGGACAAGGATGCTGTCTGGTTTATCTGCAGAGTTTCCTACAGATCAGTGGTAGATGCCTGAGCTTGGTCCAACACTTAGAATCTGTGGTGAAGGTTTAAATTCTGGGGCCACTAGCTTTAGCCCACTGTCTATGCAGAAATTAAGCCCAAGAATTCAAGTTCCACCCCGTCCTCAGGCAATGCAAACACCCCCAGAGGCTTTGAAAGTCAAGCAGGACACCTAAGAAATGAGAGTCAGGGATGGCTTTGGAGGCTGTCAGTTATTCCTTTGCAACCAGTTGATGTATGCAGAAACAGGGCGATACCTGTAAAAAACTGGAAATATTTCTTGGTTGGCTTCACACGGTGCCCCCCATCTAAATGAGTACCGTTTTTCGGGAGTGACAGTGCTGCAAATAATCTTACAAGGTGATCCATTTCTTAATATTGTTTGTTACATCTATTTTAAAGATATGTCCTTCACTTCAGGACCAAAGCACTTCAGGTTTGCACCTGGAGATTAGTGACCTCTTACAAAAGCATCTCTCTCTGTCTCATAGTTCAGCATCCACACTAGAAGTTAATTCTGCAGTGAAGACTTTCTAAAGACAACAGAACTTGTGATCAAAAGAATAGACAGTTGGATGCACCCTGGGGATGGAGCTGAATGGTCACACTTGGGATCTTGGACCTGAGGAGAGTGGGCAGGTTGGCCAAGCATGGGTCCTTCAATTAGAGGAGCACCCAGCTTGTCTTCATCCCACTAAGTAACTCATCCAAGATGAGGACCCCAAGGATTGAAGTCCAGAAGCAGGGCAACCATCCACTGTGGGCTCCGAATGCAATCGGCATTGAGTAGATGCCTTCAGAGAGAATGAGCTGTTCAAGAAAACCCACCAGCTTTGTTGGACCTTGCCTCTTAGCTATTGTCCTCCTTTCCTGAACATTCCTCAACACCCTGGTTGCCTGTGATGTGTGGCTTGGTTTCTTCCTCTCCACTTTGTCTCCTGCTGCATCCTTTATGGCTTTAAAAGATGATTGGCAATGTACTATAGTAGAAAGACTATGGCTTTAAAATCAGGGTAGACTTAATTTCAAATCCCAGCTGTGGTATGTGCTAGTTGTCTGTTCTTAGATAAGTTCCTTAATCTTTTGTGCTCATTTTTTTTTTCACCTGTAACATCTGGATAATGATACCTATGTCATAAGGCTGCTGTAAAGTTTATAAACTAATGCTTACAAATGCTTATCACAACGTCTGGCAAAGGTTAAGTCTTCAGTTGCATCAGCTGTTATCATGAAGTCAACTAAGGGAAGGATTCTCTTTAGGCATTTGTGATAGAGTGAGTGATATAGATTTATGTATAGATAAATCTACATCTATAGGAAATATATAGATTTCCTGTGGTTAGTAAAACATTGGAAGTGGTCGAAACTTGTAACAAAAAAGGACCGGTTAGATAAGCTGCAGAGTATATGCCAGCAGAGTCCTCTGTTTCCAGCACCATGTATTGTGTAATCTAAATACCAGTTGCAGTTACCCTTTGAGATCCAAAATTGGCTTGAACAGTATCCCACATCCAGTGGGAAGTCCCAGGGAGATAATCCCGTACGGATTTTGTGGCAGGGTCCCCGGAGGGCAAGGGTTTGGGGAGAGCTGTGTTTCCTTACTTACCTCTGTTGCGTCACTGACTGGTTTATGAATTATGCTTGCTCTTCTGTCTCACGCTTTTTTCTGCACTAGTTACACCACACTGGATCCTACTCCCATTCTTTCACTCCCCAAAACAACACTGATGAGAAGCTGTGTGTGCAGCAGGCTTTTACTGACTATTTGAGGCCATGAAGATTTACATTTTAGCACAACAGTTTGAAGTCCTTCTGCCTTCCAGCCACCAGGGAGTCTTATGAATCCCTGAGAGGCTCCAGCGTGCAGAGACCAAACCATGTTGCTTGGGTCCCCTTTTCCTTTTCTGCTGCCCAACCCCCTAGCCTCCAATGTGTGTGGACTTTTCTCTGCAGAAGAGGGTATTTGCTGTCTTACTTTCTAAAGTGGTCTAAGGTACCTTAGGAGGCAAATGTAGGTTTGCCTCAGAGAGAACACTGCCGTTACTGTAATTTTGTATATTCCCGTATCTGGCTCCACAGGCCACAGTGAGCTTTTATCTACATCTTGGGAGGTGGAACAATACAGTGTTAGTTAAGAATCCACGTGTTGGAGCGAAATGGCCCGGGTCCAAATACTGGCTCTGCTACTTACTAGTTACGTAACCATCTTAGGAAATGAAGTAAGATAAGTTAGTGAACTTGCAGTGTCTGAGGCATACGCTGGGTCCTCAGTAAATAAATGCCTGCATTCATTATTCCCAGATGGATTCTTTGCTGTCAGTCTACAGTGACTAGCTTCCTGCACAGTGAAATGTCACTACAATCTGGGAAGAGGCCACTGGTGTGATTGTGTAACTCAGTTTCCTTATGTAGAAGGACGAAGTTTGAGTTTTTACAAATTTTTTTTCCCCTTTGTAAGACTGTATTTCAAAGACTGGACACAATAAAGGAAACTTTTACTTAATAGGTTGGGAAGAAGAGTGGAAAAGGGTTCGATTGTTTCATCTAAATAGTAACAGGCCATAAAATCTTTTTAGGCTTACCTTCTCATTACTAATGACTTCACACTGAAGATTCATTTTAGGCCTTTTTTTTCTCTTCCTAATATACAGAACAAAACAAGGCAATTTAAAAAATTCTTTATTTGAGTGTTAGACAAAGAAAGAGTATTGCATTACCAAGACTTGCTTAAAAGCATGTCATATAGTCTGTTGCCACTGTTTCTTTGTGTGTTGTAAACCAACGTAACTAATAAGGAAGTAAACGGTATATCTTTCCTCCTCATTTTTAACTCATTCTTGATTTAGGAGGGATACAACCTTACAAAGAAAATCCTGGTGAAATGGCATCTCTAACACTCTGTCCTCAGGTTCTAATGGCTCCATGGGAGAAGCACTATTGGTCTGAGCCCAACCATGTTCCCAACATGATGAGAACAAGAAACTAGTCTCTCTAAGGCCAGTAGTGCATAGTAGTTCTCATCTAAAGTTCTATTTCCCCATCATCTCTTATCCAGATGACTGACCTCAAAATTAGGGCTGAGTGTGAGCTAAAATGGTCCAATATACATTTACCATGAGTGTCAACCTGCTAATCTCTGTCTAGGATGATCCTACCGGGCGATATGCCAAGCCTCCTGGTTTGCTTATTAATTAATGGTCACCAACTTCACTGGGGGCAAGCAGCCAAACAGTGTGCTGTTTGTTGACCCTGGCAAATAATAAAGTATGACTTATTTACTCCTTTGTTCCCCAACTTGATCTAATTAAAAGCCTTTAATGTGCTAAGTCCCTAAAGCTTCAGGTTAGCAAACTAGTACGTTGAGAATGGGGTCCACTATTCGACAGTGACTAGGCATGACATGAGTCACACATACAATCAAACGCCTGATCAGTATGCCTCTGTCATCCTTCTTTTCATAAATTCTGACAGATGACCTGACAGATATTAACAAACAGATATTAGAATAAACTGCTAAAAGTTCTAGTCTTATCCAAAATAAACTTTGTTTTTAGCTTAGTCATTAAAAATATAAGTTAACAGGATACACTGATTTCTTTTTGCAGGTAAGAGAAAAATGCATTTTTTAAAAATGTGCATAGTTCCATTTGGACTCCGGCAACATCTTCTTGGGTAGTCCAATATTCTGTTTCCTAGAAAATTAAAAATCAACCACAACCCCTAGGGGTGAGGGGAAATAGAAATTGCTCCCTCCTAGGTATTATTCAGGGTAAAAATAAAAATTTCTTACAGTTCCTTTTCTTTCGTTAGGCTTTACTCTTGTTTTTAAGGTAAAAGTTACAATTAGTATTCATATTAGCAGCAAAGATCCTAATTTCGATAAATTAAAAAACTCAGGACTGACAAAAATAACATTTTGGTAAAGAATGAGGGGTCCATAAGTGGTAATAAATGTCTACCAATTTTGACATTAAGCAATCTTATTTGAGAGGTTAATTTGTATGAAAACGGCCAACGGTATGAAAGGTCTCATTTGAAGTTCAGCCCTGTGACTCTGCAGCAGGACGCCGGTCGGCCCGGCCGTGTGCAGGGGGAAGAGGGCTTTTGTGGTGGAAAACTTCCATGGAGTCAGACCGACGGGGTATGGATCTTACTCTGGCTCTTTAGTAAAAGTGGTTACTTCTAATAAATTGTTGAATGTGGAAGCTGCTTTGAAACTAAACTCAATGTGTTAGAAAGTCAAATACAGTTATAAGTCTTCCCCTGTGGTATTTTCAGTTAAGTTTCACAACCTGAGCTTAGTAAAATGGCAAGAATCAGAAAATAGTACAAAAACTGCAAGGAGCTTGCGAGTTCTCCAGTTTTAATCACTCCAAATGCCACAGCAGCAGCGTCATCAGATTGTCATTGCTGTGACTACTGGGGGCACATGCCCAGGAGGAAGATTCAGGGAGCTAGGAAAGTTTAATTAGGACAGTGTCTCTTTAAAAATGCTAGAAAAATCAGTTTGCATCCCAAGTTTCTTGTGTTTCTTAGTGTTTATTCAAAACACTCAAGAATGACTCATATAACATTGCTGCTTTCAAATACCTCCGTGTCTACTTCTTACTGAGAAGAAAAGGCAAAGAAATGCCAGCTTTGTGTTGGAGCTTTTAGTCATTAAAAAAAAAAAAACAATTAGAAGATGCTCTGGGCTTTTATAAGCACAGGGAATTTTTTACTTGGGAAAAGACAAACCCCACTCAATAATCTACTGTAAAGTTTCTAAACTACAAGCCTGGCAAGCAATACATTTGTTTCGAGATAATCCTTTTACAAATCCTAACTTTGGAAAGTGGCATTTTATACTACCATTCTAATGGAGCTGCGTCCCTTTTCTGCTGAGTGAGTTAACCCCATGGGGGATAAGCTCCCGACTCAGTAGTCAGTAGGACGGAATATCCACTTCTATTAAGCCTTAGAAACTTGGGAGTTGCAACTAGATGGAAAAATCATTTCCAGCAGTCTCCACCATCACTTCCCAAGAGAGCAGTATTGGTGACCCAAAGGGCACAAAGTCATCGAATAACAGGCAGACTTGCTTTCTCCATGAGTTTATCTAATTTTCTCATAAGCTTGCAAAATGCCACCTAAAAACTTAATAAGTTAAAAACAATTATATATGTATAAATATACACCCACACCCACCCATTCCCTACAATTCCTGGCTGCAAGCTCCCAAAGGTAATCTCAGCAAAAAAAATTAAGCCAGAAGACCAGCTTCATTTGTTGATCAGGCATAGCAACCTTCCACTTCCTAAAGGGCCTTGTGCTAGCATACAGATGTTAAAATAAAAACTACCATTGTGCCCAGGGATTAACAAGAGCTTTGCCAGCACTTCAAAAAGTAGAATACTTCTAAAAAAAAAAAAGTAGAATACATCTTTGCACTGATCAGTTGCCTTTCACTCATTTCCTAAAACTTCACCCTGAGGAGGGTCCTGTTCCCTCATCTCAAAAAGATCAGTTCCAGAACAGGTAACAAGGAGCTGAAGGGCCAGCGAGTAGAAAGGGAAGGCAAGGCTCCCAGACCGCTCTTGGTGGTCGCTCCACAGGGACCTTAACTTCATCACTTCTGACACCCCCTCTCTCTTGGGCACGACTCCTTCCCAACCTTCACCTACACTGTCACCTGAAAGAGAGGCATTAAGGTGACATAATCAAAGTCGTCAGGCCGACAAGTTGGTAAAATGAGCACTGGAAGCTGCGAACGGAGGGGTGAAGGAAAAGCAAGTGCTGAGAACAAGAAGTCCACGTGATGGTTTATTCTTGTGAGTCAGTGCAAAGGAGAGGAAGGCAGCACCACCTGTGATCACTCCATGCAAACCGATTTGCATCTGCTGTGACAGTGACAACAGTTCCAGGAGAAGATGAGCAGCTTAGGAATGATCACGTGGCCACTGCCTACTAACCACGGTCACGGCCTCTTGTTCAGCTAATGCATAGGACAGAATGGGAAGGAGCAGGGCCAGGAGAAGACATTCCATGAGAAGACTTCCCTGTAACCTAACGGTCTTCCACGCACCTGCCTTCTCCTCCTTGGCACCTGTTAGAAGTAAAGGTGGTCCCCAGGGAAAATGGGTCTTGTCTGAAGATGGCCCAGGGTGGCCAAGTCAGAGAAGAGTGCTGCCCTGACTTAAAACGGTTTGTACATGGAGGAAAAAAGGAGGCTAACTGATACTTTTCAAACTCCAGATTCCCCGGGAACAGAGCAACACATCCCTCTTCTTCCCCTCACGAGAGTTAAACTGATTTCCTCAGAAAGCACCTAACTGGCTTGGGCAGAGAGGCATCACTAGCCAGAGAAGTACTGGTGATGCTTCAGAATTATTTAGGAGCCATGTCTAATTTCACAGGCAGAAAACTAACTGGCTACATGGAATCCTTGAGGAGTTGACATTATTTCTCTTTCCTTTTCTTGCAAGGAGGAAGAGATTGATAACAGTGTGGAATGGAAGGGAAGAAATCTGACAAAGGTGAGTCAATGAGGGTAAGAAGCAGTGTTTGCAGAATGACTTCTATAGAGAGATTGAAAAGTTTCAAAGGAGGAGAAGATTAAAAGATTCACTTTAGAAGTTAAAGGTAGAAATCAGAGAGAAGAAAGTAGTCAAAGCACAAGTGAACATAGTAAGTTTTTTGATTTTCTGTTTTCTTAAAAAAAAAAAAAAAGGGAGGACAAAGGAGTTAATTCCTCCACTGCCTTTTCACTGGAGAACTGAAAATTATTGCCATATTATGGGATGCACGCCCCCAGCAGTAACCCAAGCATGTCTGTCTGCATAGTCTTAAAGGAGTAAATATCTATCAATTAAACAAACAAGAGCTTTTTCTCTTAAGCCTAAAGTTACCTACATGCTCCTGAGCTGAATTTGGTATCATCATATTAATAAAAAGTGTGTAGTGTATGCAGATTCAGAATAAAGATGAAGGATTTGTCCTGTGGTCCTTGAGGATCTGCACCTGATTAATATAGAGAAGACATAGGTACGTGTGCTAACACTCAGCGGCCTAGAGTCCTCATAATAAATAGTAGCTGTGCGTTTAATCTTAAACTGCAATCAAATCAAACTTTCACTGTTTTAAGTGAACGTATTAATGGAGCTATCTCCTCTTTCAAAGCCCCACCATTGGCCCTTTTCTTCCATTTCACTCTCATACTTGCACCCCATCCCCGACCCCCAACACAGTTAGTCACGTGCAGTATCAGGTGTGAACCGCAAATCCCAAGATAAACTTTACCACCTGGGGATTTTTCCTTTTACCTAAAGCTCCAAATTATTTTAACTCTTTTGGGGATGCTTTTGGCTCTTCTGGTTTGGAAATGTGTTTTCCAGTAAGCACAATATCCACAACTAGTTTGCATTAAGTTGATGAAAGATCTAATTGGTGGAAACATCAGTGTACTGCATTGCTATAAATAAAAGTCTCTTTACTATACCCATAAGTGAAATGGCAGAGAGGGGAAGTGGGCCTTATTGGAAAGAAGATGACTGTTTAAACACAAAACCAATACAGAGGGAAAAGCAATTTGGAAAGGTACAGAAAAAGATCTATGCCAGGCAGCAGCGGAGGAAGCAGGGCTACACAGCCACTGGAGAACCGCTGCTGCCCTGGCGTCTGAGGTCCAGTGCTTCCCAAGCAGATGGGCAGATGGTGAAAAATAAAGCAGCTTCTTTTCTTCCTCTTTTATCTCTTAAATTCTATTATGAGGCAGTTCTCTGTCTGTCACCGAGAAGGCAGGAGGAAGCATTTCTCTCACCCACTCTCCAGTCCCACTCTTCATTTTTCAGTGGAGCCCCAGGGGACTACTGTAATGATTCAGGGATGGTGCTGACAACGTGGGCTGCCTCTGTGGCTGCTGGAGGGGAACCAAAGAAGGTGTTGGTCTGATTCCTCTGCTGATCTCGGAGGTAAGGAGGAACTGACGAGCTTTTGATGTGGAGGATCCTGGTGTCCATCACCTGACAGTCAATCTGCATCATCACTTCGTAATCCTGCCCATTGATCACATTCTCTGCAGAGAGGAATACAGACAAGGAATAAACATTCAACAGAATGTGCAATTCTGCTCTGAGCTTCAATCCCAGAAAGACATCAACAAGCTTTAAGGGTGTGAACTGTCAACATGCTTTCAAGCGTAGAGAGACTTCATCAATCACTAAGCTGAGCTATGGTGCCGGGATGGCCTGTCCGCTCCTCAATTCTAGTTTCCAAACAACTTTCATTGGCTCAGTAAGGGCTGGAGCCACTGTCAGAGTTAATACCACAGATTATCTGTCCACAGACATTATGTCTTGGTATGCTTTCCATGCAGTGTATCACCATGCCCAGAGCAACTGGAACAGAAGGAGATTTTAGTGAGGAAGAGGGGGTGGTGGTGGAGGGAATAATACATAGGTCCTCCCCTCCTCGTTCAGCACTGGGAAGGGATAACTGTCAAAAGGACCAACATATCAGGTGAATGGTAAGGAGAACTTGGCTAAGAGTCTCCTGTTCATAAGTAATATTTCTAATTTCATTAAGACATTCCTAACTACGAATTTAAGGGATTGCACTTAGGAACATAAAGTACAGTGAAGACTGACAAGTTATAGACACCTGCCAATTATGCTCTCTCTCAGAGCTCACTGTCACTTCCCTTCCATGCATTTAAGGTAACCTTTAATTCTAGAGTTCTGGATTCCAGGTACCAAGAAACCAGTACATTTCCAATTTGGGATTAAAAGGAGTGCTGTAGGACTTCTAGGTAAACTACTGGCATAAGGGAAAAGGAAAACCCATATCTAGCCATACTTAACATATAAATTTAATATACACAGACGTATACTACACTCCATTCTTCCTAAGAGGATGAAAGCTCTTTATTTTAGGAAGAGGGCCAAATTATTTCCTGATTTGTAATTCTGGGTGGTCATTTCCCAACTGTAGTCAATGAAAGTCGGGCCTAAAACTGAAGAATTATAGATAGATAACATCTTTCCAGTCAAGCTGGACATTCACAGCAGTACAGTTAGAAGATGTGTGATCTTGGAAGAATGCAGGGTAGTCAACGTGGCATCTCAGTTTGCGTTTCATCCATGAATCCAGGGCTGGGTGTGGAGACAGGGAAGAATGACTGCTGGCGAAGGCCTAGCTCTGTGCTGCCTTTCCATGAAGATGATACACAGCCAACCCATGATTTTTAAAATTAAACACTTGGCTTCCCCAAGACAAAGAATTGAATTTAAAAGTAGAATTCTTTCTATTCCATTATCTTTTTTTTTAAACTTCTACACTGTGCATGCTGAGTATTATAAATCTAGAGGGAGAAAATCCAGAGTTTAACATTTGATCTTCAGAATCCATTATGTTTAGGAAAACTGAGCTACGGAGCCTGTCACTTATGAGGCAGAGAAAGACTTACGGAGATCATCTAATCCAGGGTGTCTTAAATTAGGGTCCAATGCATATTCAGGGAGTCCATAAGCTCCCTGAGACTGCCTGCAAAGGTTTATTTGTGTGTGCATTTTTCTAGGGGGGGTGTCCATTAGATTCTTAACGGGGTTTACAACCCACCAAAAGTTAAAATTTATTCAATCTAATAATCTGTCAATTTTAAGTGCCTTGAGCAGAGGATTATATTCTATTTAAAAGCCAATGGAAAATATTCTTCCACTTTCATAGGCTGATTGCAATTTCTACAAGTCTCCACTGATGGTGAATTTCCCATTACAAGTCTTACATATCTCTTTGATTACAGTTGAAACTAATGTCCTTCCTTCCCAGCCTTACTAGCAATGAAGAGCAGTTGGTTGTTTCTGTGTATTAACTAACCCTACCTATTCTTTAAGACCATTGCTATGGAAACTTAACTCCAATTTTACAAGTCCTGCTACTTTGCAGTGGCTACCAAATCATGTATGTAGTGTCTTTGTCTGGTTTTAGTATCAGGCTAATGGTGGCCTCGTAGAGTAAATTTGGGTGTGTTCCCTCCTGCTCAATTTTTCAGAATAGTTTGAGAAGGATCAGTGTAAGTAGAATTTGTTAAATATTATATGGGTATTATATTCCTGAACAATGGGGAGTCAGATGAGAAAGTGTTTATTGAGTTAGATGATCCATAATAATTTCACACAAAAAAGTGTATGGGCCTAGAACAATGTATATGCAAACCACAAACCCTTAAGGGGCACTTGTAGTGGTCATGATGATTGAAGGGAACTACTGAAATTTAATGGGCAGGGGCCAGGAAGCTGCACAGTCTGTAATGCACAGGGACAATCCCATGCAAAGCTATCCTATATCTCATACAATATTCATGTAGGTAAAAAAAAAAACCCTGATTATTACTATATTAATATACTCACTGTTTTACATTTAAATATAAAGCACTTTTAACATGGGTTTTATACACACTAAATTTCCAGGAATAAAACTACTGCATAATTATTTATTTAATGAACACTTACCTAGTGCTTCTGTATGCCAGACACGCTTTATCTAATTCTCAAAACAACCTCCTAAGTCAGGTATTATTATTGTTATTATTATCCCCCATTTTATAGACGAGAAAAGTGGAGCATAGAAACATCACGTGACTAGCTACTCACCTGGCAAATAGTAGAGCAGGAAAGTTCAAACACAGGTGCTTTAGAATACATTCTTATAACCACTGCACTATGCTGGGAATATTGTTTTTTTCTAAACTTAACCAAGAATTGTTCATTTCAGAAAATCACATAACCTGTGGCAAAGATACTCCTGGCATCCGGGTTACCATCAGGAAACCCTAGTCTTGGTTTGCATTTGTAGCTGCTGCACTCACAGTGAAGTCATGTCAAGCACCTGATGTGTTCATTGTGTCTTCTAATGCAATATAAGCATTATGATATACAATGCCTGAAAATTATATGTATTCATTAATTCAACATTTATTGAATTCCTGTTATGTTCCAGGCACTGAGCAGTGAACAAAACAGAAAGAAAAAAAAAACCATTGCCCTCACAGAGCTTAATTCTCATAAATGGAGAGATGAAGTGGGGGGGGTGACAGAAAATAAAATAATTACATTAAGTATGTAGAACAGTAAATAAGTGGTGTGGAGAAAAGGAAGCGAGGGTTGGGGTGTGAGGAGAGACTTGCAGTTTTAGATGCTGTGCCCAGGGGAGGCCTCTCTGAGTAAAGACCTCAGGAAGTGAGGCATGAGCCATGCAGCTGTCGAGGGAAGAGCTGAGTGCACACATGTCTGAGATTCCAGGAGGACACTTTAGTGGAGAGAACAGGCAAGCAGTAGGAAACAGGACCGAGGACTGATTGGCAGGAGAAAACAGGGCTAGATCTACAATTTGGGAATTATCTGCAGACAAGAGACAGATGGAGCCCTGAAACGAAATGGTACTCTTGAGGAAAGAATGATGGGAACATGTGTGTTAAGAAGGATGGGCATGAAGGGAAAGGGCAGGTTTATGGTTTCATCAGAACACTAAGAGTACTTTTAACTGAGAAACCAAACTCAGTTTATAATCTTCATTCATTCATTCAACAATTATTTGCACACCGACTATGTGCTAGGCATGGTTACAAACTCACTTGTAAGTATTTAGGTACCATTTTCTGTATCCATATTAAACAGAGGATGAGTTTTCTAAAGGAAAATGGACACCATATGATGGGTCACAAAACTGTCAGCCAATATATACTGAGTGTTTTAAACTGTGAGTAATTACAGAAGAAAATGAGGTTTCTTCCCTTTTGCAGCTTACAGGAGTGTTATAAAAGCAGCAGAATCACATTTAAAGTATCGGTGAAGCAGTTAAACAAGTGCATCTCCTCTACTACCAAAACTAGCACCCCTAAATCATGTCAGTTCTTTTCCTTCATATCACTAATCACAATGTGTAATTAAACATTGGCTTGTTTACATGTTTTAACACATGCCACCCCACTAAACCATCAACTCCATAAAGTCAGAGAGTATGTCTGTTTCATTCACCACTATGTATTCAGAGTTAACAAAGTCCCTGGTACCCAGTAGATTGAAAAATACAGAACATGGTCTCACTTTGGCTGTCCTTCATACTTGCTAGTCATGTTATCAGGTAATTCTTTGCTTTCTGAAAGTTCCACCACTCTTGGCCCCAACTTGAGAAAGTGCCATCCTAGAAATGGTGATAGCGCCCAAGAATTTCTAACATCCTCAAACACAAAAATAATCCCATTAAGACCTCTGAAACACAGCCAAAATTACGTCTCTTCAACTTCAAGTTTACATTTTGAATTCATAACCATCAACAATGACTCTTTTAAAAGTGATCAGATGAAATTCATCCCCGGGGAAATTTAGGGGCTTTGCTACAGAGGTCTAAACATTATATGGTCAAGTTCCTAGTTTTCTTAACTTCAGCTCCTCTAGGACTTTTGATAGACTCCTAGGATGATTCCAGGCAATCTGGCTATTTCCATAATTGTTCAGACTAACGGTATTAGATTTGCTTTTCTCTGGACCTGCCTATTCTTTCCCTGAAAATGCTGCCAACTAATGGGAGAGGTTTTTTTCATTAGCTCACAGAAAAGAGTTACATTTCATCGATCTCCAACAGCCCCTGAAAGACCATTAAAGTGGGTATGACTAACACAATTATTACTCATTTCTTTAAATTGAATTTCTAGACTTCCAAATTGAAACTTGATCATGTCATTTCAATTAGTGTCTCAAAAACTGAAAACAAGTGAACCTCAGATATGAGTAGCAACAAAGGGACCCAGGAGAAGACTGGGTTAGGATTAAAATTCATTCTGAAAGCTGAGTGAAATAGACTGAGGACTTGACTTGCTGCCCTAAGACACAGTTTTTTTGTTTTGTTTTTTTTTTTTTGCCTGGGGTCTGGGGCCCAACTCTAGGGATGGCCAATAATTTTATTGCTTCTAATAGTTAAATCATTAGCACCAAGTACTGGAAAACTGTTTTCTGGTATTACAATCTGAAATTCAAGACCTGTAAGAACTGAATCAATATTCAGAAGCACTTCCCTATA